AACACAACTTTATTATACTCCAGATATAAGTTTACCTAGACACTTCATAGATTCACTTTCAGTCTATCAATCGTATTTGAATCCAAATTAAATATGGAATACTAATTCAAGATAAATTGGTCTAGAAAGTATATCATGCGAACTGCAAGATAGTTATAATAGTGTACAACACCAGATAAAGAGGCCAGAGGAGATTATATCTGGACACTTAAAAAGATATAAAGAAGACTAAAAAGAGAACCAACCAACACAAGTGTAGATCTGAACTCTACGGTGACCAGGAAGAAGAACAAAACGGTGTGGAACAATTGGAAATCCCACTAGTCTGCATATTCTCGAACTGAATTCCTAGACCAAACTTTTACAGAATCCGGAAGAACAACCCCAGTGTGAAGTGAACCACTGCTATCACCACCGACCCCTATATGCCATCTTGTTCTCCGACCATTCAATTCTTCAATCTCTTTGCTCTGATCCAACTGCTCACAACCTCCAGGTACACATAGGTGAAAAGCAATTAAATATGATATATTTAGCAAAACCACATACAAAAATCGAACCCCAAGTATGTAGTAAAAACTAATTTTTACCTGTGGTGGATGAAAGGTGGTTGGCGTTGATAGAGAGGAATAGGACCCGATGGAACATCTACTATTGTTGAGGTAGAAAAGGTGATTGGCGGTGGTGGAGGAAGTAGGAGCTTCGTTCGGCATCCTCGCCCGAATTGGGTTTTATTTTTACCCTAGGTGCTCTGTTTCTCATATACGGAGTATTTTGTCTATGCAAATAAAACCTTAAGAACATTCGATAAGAGTTCAATATGAGCCTGACGTAGAAATATACTTTTAAGATTTATAAAAAAGACCCCGTCCATAGCTTAGTTTTTCGAATATTAGAAAATTTACCCCGTTTCCGTCTATTATGTCGGCCAAAATGAAGAACCGTTATTGATTCAAGTTTATATTTAGAAAACATACCCGCTAAACTACTACACATATTTCATTATTTATAAATATGACCCCGCGTTGACATACAACTACGGTTCTAAATGAACCCATATAAAATCCTAGTTATAAAATGCATATTTTGCACTAGTGTGTGGTTTCACAGATATATCTTGTTCATTGCAACATTAGATTGTTTAGTAGTGTTTTCAGGTACATCTTCACATAAACCATAAACCATTACATTATTTTTTGGTATGTAACAGTGGTATGGTTTCTAGGATATATCATAAGATATACTTTAGAAATTGTCTCTCAAGACGTTGATGTTGTGTGAAACATTTAGGGTCTGTTCACCAACAAAAATATTTTCAGATTTATTTTCTGTTTTTCGTTCTTCAATATTTTGTTTTCATTTTTCAATTTTCTATCTCAAATTTATTGTCTAATTCAATCGAACGGTCCCGATCAAACTCAATGGTTAGTTTGACTGATTCTTTTTCCATTTCTCTATTGGTTGACAATTCGATGATTCTTTTAAAACTCTTCATTTTAAAAAATGACATCTAACAACCGAGACCGAACTGCCAGGTCATTGACCAGCCCAAACAGGGAGCGTCAGGTTGTTGACGAGACCAACCCGAGACAGCCCGGTCGTCGATTAGAAAGAACAGAAACCGCCGTGTCATTGGTCGAACAGGACAGGGACCGCCGGGTCGTTGACCGGACATGACGGGGACCGCCAAGTCATTGACCAGAAAAGACGGGGGCCGCCGAGTCATTGACAATACCGGATTAGATCGAGATTGCCCGACCGTCGATCAGACTGAACAGGTACCGCTTGATCATGGATCAGACTAGAAAGGGACAACCGGGCCATGGACCGAAGCAGACAAAGACCGTCGAATCGTGGACCGGACCGAATAGGAACCACCTGGTCGTGGACCGGACCGCACATAGGAGGGACTGCCGAGTCGTCAACCCGAGCGAGCCGGAACCATCGTGTCATCGACCGGTATGGGTCAGGATTGCTCGGCCATCGACCGAACCAGACAGGGACTGCCAGGTCATTGGCCGAACCCGGCTGCCTGGTCATTGACCAGACCAAACAGGGATCGTCGGGTCATTAACCAGACTGAACTGGAACTGGCACCAGAGCGCGACCGGATCCACAATTATGCGTAATTAAGTATGCAAATTCATTACAGTGGCACTGCAGCATCCACATTTTCCAAAATTGGAAAACCAGTCAAACTCATTTCTTCAATTCAATAAGGAAAACAGAAACATGTCCCATTTTCTTGGTTTTGGAAAATGATTTGGTAAATGGATTTTTTTGCTTTCTCGAGTTTTCATATTTTCTGGAAAACTGAAAAATATCTTTGTTAGTAAACCAAATCCCAATGTTGCCAAATTTTTTGGTTTTCTCTTTAATAGATTCGTCGTCTATAATAATATCAAAGTACCTATTAATTACCATGACTGTATTTGTAATTTTGTATATTACTATAAAAATATCAAAGTACATTTCAATTACTGTGACTACATTTGTATATTACTACTGAATGAATGTTAAGAATCTTATGACACATACTCATGTATATCGTCCATAAAAGCAATACAAATGTTTATCGTTCATTACACATTTCTCTTGCCTAATATCCAAAGCATTCCGACCTGTCGCTCAAAATTCATCTCCACCCTTTCTTCGCATATTCCCCATTTTATTCTCACTTTTAACATATCTAAAAAGCAACACATTGGAAACAAAGGGTTACTGTGTAAGTGTCTCATCTTTACGGAGTTTACACAGAATAGGTTGTATATAGGTGGTCACTTTTTTGTCCAATAAAAAATTAGTCATATTTTTGTCCATCTAAACTAGTGCTGGACTCGGGCCGGGCGGCCCGGCCCGGAACCGGCCCGGCCCGGTTACTGTTTGGCCCGGCCCGGCCCGGCCCGGGGCCCGGTGGGTCCACCGGTTCGGTTCGGCCCGGCCCGGCTGCTGGGCGGTTCGGGCCCAGGTTTTGGTGAACCGGCCCGGCCGGTTCGGGCCCGGTCCGGGCCAGATTTTAATTTTTTTTTTTTGAATTTTTTTTAAGTTTTAGGTTGGATTAGGTATTTTGGGCCATTTGAGGTGGTTTGGGATGGTTTGGGGTTGAGGGGGAGGGGTAGGGGATTAAATAGGAGAACAAAAAAAAAAAAAAAAAAATTGGGCCGGTTCGGCCCGGCCCGGTTTGGCCCGGAACCGGGACCGGAACCGGCCACCGGCGGTTCGGGCTCGGGCCTCCCCTTTCCTGGCCCGAGGCCCGGCCGGGCCCAGGCCCGAACCGGGCCCGAACCGGCCCGAGTCCAGCCCTAATCTAAACTATAAAAATAGTATTTTGACGGTTCTTCTAGTAAATAAGATCATCTTCAATGGTTCCTTTCGAAGACTTGCATGTAATTTTCAAACTCTTATCATTAGAGCATTGATCTTCCTTTCGCTTTTTTTTTTTGGAAAAAGGCGGCTTATATGATAACAGAACATTCAACAACGAATAACAGAGATAAAGAAACCACTCCCAGCCATCAACCTTCGAACCAGCCGGAGAATCAATCACCCTAGACAGAGCAATATGATTCGCTGATCCTATAACGGGTCTACATGAGCCTATCATGGCCAAAGCATAATCCTCATCCTCCCCACCTAATGTAAGAGTTCGCAAGCAAAAAACAACAGAAATGGAAACAACCATGTTCTTGGTAAACAACAACCAAATAAAATAAATAAAAACGTGTAAGTTATGCCGAAACTTGATCACCACGAATAAGCTCCAGCATCCTCCCTTACCAGCAGAAATCATCAGCCATCTCGGCGGGTTTGGGAGCCCACACCCGCCCCTTCCCCATTTTTTGGGTCATCCAAAGCCATGTTGACCCTCTCATTCCTCCCTTCGCTAGCATATAGCCTATCCATGCTTTCGCCATTGGGGACCAAAGCATAAGTGATCTGGATCAGAAACCTCCCGCCTCGATGTCCGACCATTTAGTCTCCAGCCCAGCCGCATTCGTCAAACCGATTAACCTTCACGCCCATCTCTCTTTTGGATCCGAGCCCCCCAAACACAGATGAGACTGATTGAAGCCGACAGAGAACCGGCAACCTCCAATTGCTATTCCCAATTTCCCTAGCCAACCGAGCAACATACGGCGATGGCCGCTAGCCAGACACAAAACCCTAGATGCAACTAGGAACAGACCGCTTTAAAAATTGATCTTCCTTTTGCTTGACAAACTAATTAGTCAAAATGAGCTACTGATTTCGGTAAAAGAATTACGGAGTATTAAATATGAAGTATAACATAATTAATACGCTGTAATAAATGAAAAGGAAGAAATTATAGCTAAACATTAATTATACTTAATCATTAGAGTATATTTTAATTTTGCTTCAAATACATACGTGATTAGTCAAATTGTGGTTTTCATCCCATCAAGAAACATACAAGTATTTCACCGTCATTTAAAACAAACTAACAATAAAGACATATCTCAAATTTTCAGAACACTAACTGAGAAATTCTTTAGCGATCCATTACCCTGGCGGTTTCGCCAACCGGATGATCGATTTTTTGTTCTAGGTTGCTGTGGTTCTTTAATCGACGGAGGCAGGGACGGTGGGGATTGTAGCGGCAGAGCTATGGATGGGGTGAGGACCGCCGTGAGAAGAGGTTTCATTGGCATCCTCCTCTTCCTCCTCATCATCGTCTGTATCGTAGGTTGCGAGGTTGACGCACGAGAAGCGCTCCAGCGACGAGAAGAAGGCCGCCGCTACGCTCGAACCGAACCACCGCGCCAGGCCGTCCAGAAAATCGTAAGGTACTACGCTCGTATTCTCCATATCTTAGAACGGGAATGTAATTCGGTTGTTATATCAGTTAGGGAATATGATTCTGATAGGGAGATTGATAAATTCTACAGAGAAACTGCGAAACGGCGAAAATGGTGGGTTAGAGATTTTAATACCCAATTTTGTAATTGGATATTTTCCACGTCATTAACGGATGGATAAGGAGAGGGACAAAACCAACGGCAACGAGCGAGTGACTGTGAAACAAAAGAATGGCATTCCTTTCTCCTTCTCCATCTCAATCTTTTCTTCATCGCCCAAAGAGAGTTTCTCTCTGTAATTCTATGCAACTCCACTCGCCTTCACAAATAAGATGCTCAGGTAAAGGGTTTCCTTTCAATCTATGATTTAATCATTATTACTCCGTACTATCACTTTTTCATCAAAAGTAAATAGGGAGTATGTTTCTTTGGTGACCAATGGAAATAGCTTTGGGGGATAATTCACAGCCCAAGGAAAAGATGTCTGAGGAACTGAGAAATGTGTCTTGTGGCATTCTTGCTGCTTGGGTAGTTGGTGCTGTTTCCCCTGTTATAGCTGCTAGCGGGGTAAGAATTAAGTACCGATTTTTTCTTCAATACAACCATGTACTTCATTCTGAAATCGAAGTTGCAGTTCTAAGAATGTACGTCTTTATTGAAAAAACAATTTTGAAATGTATTTCTGATTATTGCAACTCGAAAGTGTTTCTCACAATTACAAGTGTTAGATATTGGATGTTAAAACTGAAAATGAAATTTTAGGCTTTTATTTTGTTTTATCCATTTTGTTGGTGGAAGAGAACTATCATTAATTAAACCTGAATGATCAAATATAGAATTCTCTGGTACGAGTCTAAGACACTTTCATGGAATGATGGAACTGGGGTTATCACCAGCTAGACTTAATCTAAATGCACAAGAGATAAGATGGAAATTAGGAAAATTAATTTGAAGATTTCATCCATTCTCCTTTAACCAGAATCCCAACTTGTGCCTCCCTCTTCAACCAGTTGAATGCCACATTCTTTTTCAAGGTAGTTCATAACATCCAACAGCGGTAAAACACATCCATCCACGTTGTCTCTAATTTAACCCAGTAGTCAACGGGATATTGGTCACTTTCTTCCACTTGACGAAGCCGTCGATGCCAGTGGCAGTTCACGAAGGAGATGATTCATTGGCAAACTGTCTCCCACTTTGGAAAGGGCCAGAGCCAAAGTCTCCTTTTCCTCAAGCGCCATGCATCCATACAATGCTACTATCCAACTTGTTTGACTTACCTTTCTCTGTAGACATTCAATTCTCTTACAATTTACATAAAACTATGAATGGTCTCTCAAGGCTAATTTTTGACTCATTTAGGTTTGATGTTAATCTTACTACTTGGTGCTTTGTGATCATGCATATTGTATTGGGGACATAGCAACACTTGCAGAAAACACTCGTATTAATAAAAGTTACACAGAGTGAAAGGTTAGGGTCATAGGGAAACAATTGGCGAATGATATGGAATTGAGTAAGACACCCTTTCCATAGTATTCTCTAATGTTCATAAACCGACTCATAAAGGGTATTTTATTGAATCAAATACTACGGACACGTAAAGGGTATTTTTAGTGAATCAATTAGTATTTTCCACCACAGGAAGCTTATTTGCTTTCATAATATAAAGGCATAGTGCATTTGCGTTATTTGTTGAGTTGGATTTCATCCAAACCAAATACATGACTCACCGAATTTTCAGAGGTTGCCACCTTTGTCAACGGACCCAAACAGGTGTGAGAGGGCATTTGTTGGTAACACGATAGGTCAAGCAAATGGTGTTTATGACAAACCACTTGATCTACGTTTTTGCGACTACTCAAATGACAAAACCAACCTTAAGGGGAAGTCTCTTTCGGCAGCACTGATGTCAGATGCCAAGTTTGATGGTGCAGACATGTCCGAAGTTGTAATGTCAAAGGCTTATGCAGTTGGAGCTAGTTTTAAGGGTAAATAAATACTCCATATCTTACCATTGTCATTTATTCCACCCGTTCATGCCACCACCACCCCAAATAACAGATTATAAATAAAAAACATTTGTTTCTTGAAGTTCATCATAAAAACTTTTTTTTAAACGTAAGTTAGTTTTTTATTAATGTAGAAAAAACTGGAGCAAGTTAAATATGGTAAATTTGAAGAATTAAAGTAGCTTCGAGAAGAATTAAATATGGTCCATTTTTTTGAATATTGAATTACAAAAGCTCCGTTCTACAGGCACTGACTTTACAAATGCTGTTCTTGATCGTGTCAACTTTGAGAAGGCCGACCTCCAAGGAGCTTCCTTTAAGAATACGGTTCTGTCTGGATCTACTTTTAACAATGCTCATCTCGAAGGTGTTGACTTTGAGGATACCATTATTGGCTACATTGATCTTCAGAAGCTATGCACAAATAAGACCATCAACAAAGAAGGAAGAGCTAACTTGGGATGTCGATAGCCCCTTTTTATTGTCAATATTACCAAAAATATTTGTTGTAAAAATCTTTTGATTTGTTTTTGTGGACACAAAAAGAAGACTTTATAGTAGGGAAATTATCGCAAATAGACTTATAAGTGAAAATAATATCACTTTTATCACCATGTAAAGTTTTTTTCAAAATTAGACAAGTTAAACTTTTTGCTTTCACAAATAGATCGTACTTCCGTGCGTACTCCTTTGGAAGCATGTAAGTTCTGTATCTTTGCTCCCTGAGTGATTAACTTAAACTACGTATCTATAGTGTCATTAGTGTGTAGTGGCGCATAGTTCCAGGATCTAAGTTCTGTATCTTAAGTGGCCTATTTAAGATTTTTAAAATAGAATAAGTAAAAAAGATAAAAAATAAAAAATTCAAAAAAATTGTAATAAATGTCAATTGAACCAATAAGTTAAATTTCAAAAACAACTACGAAAATTTAAAATAATATAAAAATGTTCTGAAAGTATTAAAAATTAAAAAGTAATTAGATTGTTTTTGAAAGATTGCTTTTTTAAAAATAGAATATATGAATATATATATATATATATATATATATATATATATATATATATATAATTCAAATAAATCTATAAATTGAGAATATTCGAAAATTCAAATTAAATATTTAAATTAAAATATAAATAGAATATATAATTCATACAAATTAACATACCTAAACACCTAACAGAGGAAGCGGTCCAGCCCAGCTGGTCGCCAACTCACCTCCCGTTCCTTTATATTTCTTTATGTTTCATTATAAATAGAATATATTAATAGAATATATTCTTAAGTATTAAAAATATTTGTAAGGAGGTCTCGAGTTCGAAACTCAATGAAGTGAGTTTCAACCTAGATTACTTCAGACTCCCCTAGCCATAGCCTCCCTTCCCCAGAACCTGCCTAGAGTAAATATATATAATATATATAAAGTATAATTTAAAAAAAATATTTTAAAAGTATAAAAAAGTATGAAAGGAACTTCAAGATTTTTATGAAAAGTGTAAACTTTTAAGAACCGGAAATATTTAAAAAAATCAAAACTTAAGAAATTAATATAAATGTTTAAATTTAAAAAACTAAAAGAAAATCATAAAAATTATTAATAAAAAACTGAAAAATCAGCTCTTGAAAATGGGAAATAACTATAATCATGATTTTATTAATTTTGTGGGGATGTTACATAGCTTAATTCTTGTTATCATTTTTTTGTTTTTTTTGTTGCTCGTTGTTTCTTTATGTTTCTTTATGTTTATTTTTGTTGCAAATTTTGCATAATTTGTTTTTTATTGTTTATTTATATTTCTTGTTGTTGAGATTTATAAATCAAAATTTATTATTTTATGTGATTGAATATCTATAAATGTTTTTCTGCCAAACAAGTAGTGAAGATAAGTAGAAAGCTAAATAAACAACTAAAATCATAATCAACTATAAACAACAATAAGCAACACAATGCAACAATATGAAACACAATGCAACAAAAAGAAACACATATACTACAACAAAAAGAAACAAAAAATAACATATAAAACTATCACAATAAATATATAAGGGAAAACTGTCAAATAGGTCCTCGAACTTTCATAAAAAAGTCAATTAAGTCCTTCTATCGGAGACTCTGTCCGGTCGTCGCGATTTGGGGCGGTTCCTGGTGGAATTTTTTTATGAATTTTTTTTAGCATCTTATTCATCAAGTCTAGTTTATTCATACCGAATTTCAGCTAAAAATTTAATCGGGAGCGCATTCAAATTAATTCGAGAACGCCAAAATGCGCAGTTATCTTCAAGAATTAATTTGAATGTGTTCCCGATTGAATTTTTAGCTGAAATTTGGTATGAGTAAACTAGACTTGGTGAATAAGATGTTCAAAAAATTTCATCAAAAAATTCCACCGGTAACTGTCCCAAATCACGACGGCCGGACAGAACCTCCTATAGAAGGACTTAATTGACCTTTTTATGAAAGTTCGAGGACCTATTTGACAGTTTTCCCAATATATAATTCATTTTATTACATTCATTGAGTATGCTATTTAGCTTTGCTTCTTATCATTTCTTCTTCTATTTATGCATCTTAATGCATAGCTTCTTATGCTTGGCTCTCTTATCTTCTTTTCTCCATTGATTCTCTGAGTCTTGCTATCACCCTTGTTGTATATAGGTAGAAAATAGCATATAATAGGGTCATCTCTCACAATATTCATCAAACGAAGTGCCTGAAATCATAAATCCAGGGAAGAAGTATAAGCTTTAAAAAAGACACAAACAATGATAAGTTATGTGATTGCAAAGATACATACAACACCAGGATACAACACCAGGATACGTAATTGCAAAGATTACTAGCATAAATGAATGACTTCTAGGAGTTCAATTCACTTTTATCCTGATCAATGGATCAGGCAGCCTTGCCCAAACTCTAACAAGAGCCTAGAAGCCCTGATTCTTTCCCCTAAGTAAAGTGTCTGAAGAGTATTCTTTGCACTGATCCTGAAAAAACCAAAGATCTGAACTTAGTATCTTACCACCTCAATAAAATAGATCGGTTTAGTTTGACTAGACCACGAAAGTAGAATAATCCTATTATTTCTAGCATACTAGTACAGACTTCCTTGGCTAGTATTGCAACTCACAAATAAGCTCCCTAATTAAATGAGTTATAGTTAAAACTCTCTGATTAAATGAGTTATGGTTAAAAGCGAAAAGAAGCAAGTGCTTCACCTTTACCGTGAACAACCTTCTGTCCCTGCAAAAACAAAGTTTTACATTTAGAAACATCTTGCACTCTTTTACTAGCAAAAGAAAAAGAGGAGTGAACATAAGCTAGTCCACAACATGTTGCACCTCTCTGTAACCGCAACTATCTAACCTCTAACGAAGAGGATTTCATTTCCTACCTCTAAAAAGCGCCACAAAGTTGATATAAACTATATCTTACTTGAATAGAGTAGTGAAAATAACCAATGAAGAGACAAATGAACCTTTGCTAATGAGATTATGTCAATGGTCAAAGCAGAGGTAGGGATTCCCCTGCATAGCAGGTTCTGGTTCAACGAATGACGTCTCATGTGTTAATAATTTAAATCATCAATGACAATCATCTAAAATTGTCATATTCGTATCAACAAATACCATGACATCTTAAGGTCATATTCTTATCAACAAATACTATGACATCTTAAATCATATTCTTATCAACATATACTGTGACATCTTCATTAAAATTTGACTCCAATTTCATTGACGATGAAGAGAAAGAAGCCAATAAAGAGTACTTAATATTTTGAGTTTATTGTACCCTTGACCTATTTTTTGTGCAGAGGAAAAGTATAGCTAAAACTAAAAAATAATTAAAGATACAGTAGATTTATTTATGCATATAATATCACATATGCTCGGTTAATAAAAACACGCCTCCTAATCACTGATAATTAGAAGCAGAAATGGTGTTTTTTATCATCATTGTGAATGATAAACAAATAAATAAACTTTGATATACAACACATTACTGCTCGTACTACTAAATTCAACCATTTGTTATAATTTGCTTCACAGATAAATCTCAAAAAGCGCAGATAAACTAATCATACTCAAAACATCCAAATAAATCAATCACACTAATCAAGCTTTTAAATTAGAAGTTCTAGACACGCTTAAAAAAGTTCTAGCAGACACACTTAGGAGTAATTCAATAATAAAAATAAATTACTCCATGTCTAACCACTGTTTTCAACTCAATATATTCGGCTTTAGTAATTCTGTACCTTATCAAGTATTAACGAAGTGTTGTGTACCTCAATTTTGTTCATAGAGAACATCAACAAACTTCTTTCTTCAAGCAGAGCACCGAAACTTTTTTTTCGTTGATCAGAAGTATCGTCGGTGAAAGATAATCGGGACTGTAGGCGGGCCAATGGAGGATCGGATCTGGTACAAGTCCGAACTTGTCCTCTTTGGCTCTTTCTACGGGCGTGTTCCGTCCTTAAGCGATTACAGGAAGATAGACAAGGAGAAGATTTACATCAGAATCGTAAGCTATGTGAATTTCCGATTAGAGTTGCGCATAGTAACGCCGGAAATTTGTTCAAGGCGAAGAGGGAATGTTTCCGCTCAGTCCAGAATTTGCAGAGTCGGAGGAATTTGCAGAGATTTAGATAGAGTATCCGAGAGTCGGTTAGACCATATTTGAAATAAAAAAGATAAAAGTGATAAAGCGAAAATCTAGAAGTGAAAGAAAAGAAGGCGTGTGACATAAATGAAATTCAATGAATAAAAGTGATCTAAATGGGTAATTTCCACTTTATAGTATATATAGCATGAAGTTCAATTTACTCGTCTATATGTTACTGCCCTTTTGGTGCCTCTTTTTGTCGTGCTCGTGCTTATCACTTGTAGTTCTTATCTTCTTACTAAATATGTCCCATGTTTGATATTTGGGAACAATATTAAGACCGTTTTAGACAAAGAGCATCAAAGCCGTGATGATTGGATACTAATGTTTGGGTCGACGAAGAAAGCCGCACAGTAACTACAGGTAGGGGAGACCTTATGCTGTAGTCATGGACCCGGTCCGGGCCGACCGGCCCGGGAAACTGGTTCCGGGCCTAGGCCCGGCTCGAGGAGGTTAGGGGAACGGTTCCGGTGCACCAAAAAGGTGAACCGGCGCGGCCGGTTCAGGCCTTTTTTTGGGTTTTGTTTGGGTTTGGGTTGAGTTTAGGTGGGCTGGGACCGCTGGGTGATTCCGAGGGGTTTGGGGGTGGGGGATGGGGGTAGGTAGGCTTGGACTCGGGCCGGGTGGCCCGACCCGGAACTGACCCGAACCGGCACTGTTCTGGCCCGGCCCGGTGGTCCGGTCAGTGACCGGTTCGGGTAGGCCCGACCCGCTGGAGTTCCGGTCCGGGCCTGGGCCATTTTATTTATTTTTTCTTTTTTCTTTTTGAATTTTTTTTAAGTTTTTGGGTTGGGCTGGGTATTTTGGGTCATTTGAGATGGTTTGGGATGGTTTGGAGGTGATGGGGGGGGGGGTAGGGGTTAATTAGGAAAAGGCCAAAAAAAATGGGAAAACTGTCAAATAGGTCCTCGAACTTTCATAAAAAAGTCAATTAAGTCCTTCTATATGAGACTTTGTCCGATCGTCGCGATATAGGAGGTCAATTAATTCTTAAAGATAACTGTGCATTTTTGCGTTCTCAAATTAAAAGGCCGGACAGAACCTCCTATAGAAG